ATCAAATCGAGGCAAGGCTACTGCCAGGTCCGGGAATTAGATAGGAGCATATTACTCTCCCATAACTGTAAGTGGATGACTTATATTATGATTTCTCTACTAAATAAATTATTATTATTTAAATGGATTAATTTCTTTATTTATTTATGTAGTGGTCTTGATATATTAATGTATTGCAATTAAATGAATGTATATTGAATTACCATAGTGAATATGGTGCGGGAGAAGCACCTGATTTTGATAGAAAAAGTGTGCGGGAGATGCACATGAATATGATAGTGTACGGGAGATGTACACAAGTATCAGTATGGTGTGCAGGAGACGCACATGAATATTCAAGTGTGCGGGAGATGCACATGAATATTATAGTGTACGGGAGAAGTACACGAACATTAATATAGTGTGCGGGAGGTTCACACAAATATTAATATGATGTGCGGGAGAAGCACACAATTATTGTTAAAGCGTGCAGGAGATGCACACGAGTTTTAAATTGATAATGTGCGGGAGATGCACATATCATTGGAAATTATATATACATAAATAAGACTTTATAACTTTATAAATATTTGTATTTCTCATCATTGTGGAGTTATTTAGTTTTTCTTATATTGTTACTCTCCTTTTTGTGAAGAAATTATAAATTTTTAACTAATCCACCTGCATCATTTGGGTGATGCAGTGTTTCGGGTTTACTTGTGTTTCAGTGTACCCATCATATCTTCTAGTTTGGTGGCCTAGATCTTCCGTTTCACTTTGGTGTAAGCACATGACATTTTCCTCCCGGTTTAGTTGATCCACTGGTGATATTGTTATCTCTACTTAAACTGTATTTCTTATGGTATTAGGTTCTCAAATACTTGGATAATGTTTATTACATTAAATCGTTTTTAGACTTCAATTTATGGATAATTATTACTGTTTTGTTTTGCCTTACGGTATTTTGGGATACGAGTCGGTTCCTCGGCTAGTGTGTCAAAGTATCGCGGCGGTTGCCACGTGTTCGGATCAAGGTCCGGGTCGTGACAATTTTATTGGTATCAGAGCTAGTATAACGGTTCTTATTATGGTTTTGAAATAAGACCAGTGGATCAATAGGAATTTTGGTATTAATTGAGGAATATCATATGTCATCTATATTAATTAAGTATTCAACTAAGTTTCACTTATTCGTTTGTAGAAAATATGCCACCAAAGAAGGGATATGGTGGGGGAAAGGCTCAAAAAAAGAAGTCTTTGGAACGAATTGCCTCCACGTCTCATCCAGTTGATGAGGAGTTTCCTCCGGGAGAGGAGGAATATTCTTCTGATGATGTGCCCCCTTCCACTTGAGAATATTTCTGAACAACCTTCACCTCAGCCTCAGACTGCTGGGTTGGGACAACAACCTGGAATGTTCCATGATGTGCCTAGGCGACGACGAAATGCCGGACCATCAAGCCAAGCTGGTACACAACAAAATATACCTCCACCGCCTTGGGATATACACCAAGCACATATGGCCTGGTGGAATGCACAAAATTCTCAAGCACAATCAGGCAATCAAATCCTCAACCTTACCCGTATTTTGCTCCTGGATTTTTGCCACCTTAAGTCTACCCACCTCAATATGGGTATCCTTATGGCTATCAACATTACTCACCTTTCCAGTTCACGCCTCAGAATGCACCTCCACCCCCACCAAATACATCACAAGTAGTCCCGCCTCAGCATATGCATCCTTCAGCACCTTTTCAACCAACAAGAGCTACTACAGTAACTACTTCAGGGAGGAGTAGGGATTTAGCAAAAAAGTTGAAAGATGCAAAAACCATGGGCTGTAAAGATTTTTCGGGAGAGAATGATGATGTTGAACCCATAGATTGGGTTGAATACATAAACAAAACCTTGACAGATCTGGAGTGTACTGATTCGGAAAAGCTAAAGATAGCCACTCGATTATTGATTAAAAGTGCTAAAGTTTGGTGGGATAATGTTGAAGTTCGATATCTAGAGGGAGTAACTTGGGCAGATTTCTTAAAGGAATTTGTTCAAGAATATTACCCAAAGGAAGAACGTGATGACAAGTTGGCACAGTTTTACAGTTTGGAACAAGGTGATATGACCGTAAAAGAATATAAGGCAGAATTGAGGAAACTATTTAGACATCTACCTCCAGAGTCTAGGAGGGACATTCAACTATCTGCTAAATTCAGTCAGGGGTTGCAATTGGATATTCGGGAGAGAATGACAGTGACTCCTAGTCAAACGTACAAGGATAAGGTTATGTCAGCTGTTAGAGCAGAGAAACTGATTTTAGAGAGGAGTTTGTCCAGTGGTGGGAAGTTTTGGGGAAAAAGAAAGACAGATTCCTCATCTGATCAATCATCGAAGAAAAGTAAGAGTACAGCATCATCAGGTGGTAACTCTTATGCTAGTTCGGTGGGTTCTCCTAGGAAGCCCCAACCATCTAGATTTGGAAAATCCAAGACATCCATAAGTTCAACAATTAAAGGTTGGTTTGGGAAGAAAAAGGAAACTTGTCCCAATTGTCGAAAAAGTCATTCTGGGCCATGCACCGATCCAAGAAGGTGTTTTTCCTACGGTAGTCTTGAACATACCAAGAAGGAATGCCCTAATCGTAACTAAGGTCAACATAGGGAAGGAAGCCAAACGACTCAATATCGCTTTACTCCCCGAAATAATCAGAGGGCCATACAGGCGCAGGCTTCCACTGCTACTACTTCTGGGAGCGGAGCAGGGGGAAATACGACTCTTCAAAACTCTAGCAAACCTGTGACACGAGCTCAGTCGAGGCTTTATTCCATGACTCAAGAGGAAGCCGCAACAAGACCGGAAGTAATTACAGGTACATAATTGAATAAAATTTTTATGTGTTTAAAAATCGTAATATCTAATTATTGTTAGTTAATACATGTAATAACAATCACGTAAACTCTAAAACTTGATATGGTACATAGGTACGTTGACTATTTTTGGGCGTGATGCATATGTACTGATTGATTCCGGGTCGGAAAGATCATTTATTAGCAATGCCTTTGCGGGTTACTCTGATAGGGATTTGTCACCGTTGGATTGTGACTTAGTTGTGCATACTTCGTTAGGAGAGGAAATTTTCAAAAATGTGGTGTTTAAAGATTGCCCAATAGTTGTTGGTAGGGCAATCTTGTACGCCAATCTAATTCCTCTTGAGTTGAAGGATTTTGATGCCATCTTAGGAATGGATTGGTTGGAGAAGCATTATGCTAATGTTGACTGCCATACTAAGGTGGTACAATTCAGAAGGCCTAGGAAAAGAATGGTGCAATTTGTTGGTGAACGCCGAGTGTTGCCATCTTGTGTCATCTCAGCAATTGAAACACGTAAGCTACTATCTAAAGGCTGTCCAGCTTACTTAGCACATATAATTGACACCACAACACCTACACCAATTATAGAACATATCCCGATTGTAAATGAGTTTCCGGATATTTTCCCGGAAGAGTTGCCGGGGTTGCCACCAGAAAGGGAGTTTGACTTTACTATTGATCTGCATCCGGGAACGGATCCTATCTCTATCACTCCATACCGGATGGCCCCGACCGAACTCAAGGAACTGAAGACACAATTACAGGAGCTCTTGGATAAAGGATTCATCCGGCCGAGTGTGTCTCCTTGGGGTGCACCAGTTTTGTTTGTAAAGAAGAAGGACAGATCCTTGAGATTGTGTATTGATTACCGACAACTAAACCGGGTCACCGGTAAAAATCGGTATCCGTTGCCTCGTATTGATGATTTATTTGATCAATTGCAAGGTGTAAGAGTATTCTCGAAAATAGACCTTAAGGATCAGGGAGAGCAACATTACAAAAACAACCTTTCGAACTCGATACGGGCACTATGAGTTCTTAGTCATGCCGTTTGGTTTGACAAATGCACCAGCAGCATTTATGGATTTAATGAACAGAGTGTTTCATCTATACCATGACAAGTTTGTCATTGTCTTCATCGATGATATCCTTGTATATTCTCGGAATGAGAACGAGCATGCAAACCACCTTCGAATTGTTCTCCAAACACTTCGAGAGCATGAATTGTATGCCAAATTGTCAAAATGTGAATTTTGGCTCCAAGAAGTTGGATTTTTGGGTCATGTTGTGTCGAGGGATGGAATATATGTAGATTCCGGCAAAGTAGAGGCTATTTTAAATTGGGAACGTCCGAAGACTGTTACTGAAATTCGGAGTTTCCTTAGATTGGCAGGATATTATCGAAGATTTGTGGAAGATTTTTCTCTGATAGCTGCACCGCTCACTCGTTTGACGAGAAAGGGGGTAAGGTTCGTGTGGGATGAAAGATGTGAGCAAAGCTTCCAAAAGCTTAAAGAATGCTTAACTTCAACTCCGGTTCTTACCCTACCTGTTAGTGGGAAAGGCTATATAGTTTTCAGTGATGCCTCCCAACAAAGGGTTAGGGTGTGTTTTGATGCAAGATGGTAAGGTTGTTGCTAATGCTTCTAGACAGTTAAAGAAGCATGAAGAAAATTACCCAACACATGATTTGGAATTAGCAGCAGTGGTCTTTGCATTAAAAATATGGAGACATTATCTCTACGGAGAAACGTGTCGAATCTTCACAGACCACAAGAGTCTGAAGTACATCATGACTCAGTCTGAGTTGAACTTGAGACAAAGAAGGTGGTTAGAGCTAATTAAAGATTATGATTTGATAATTGATTATCATCCCGGGAAAGCAAATGTTGTAGCGGATGCTCTCAGTCGTAAAGCCTCAAACTCTAGTGCATTAGCAGCAATCAAAGTCTCTTATTTTCCACAATTGATCGGAATTCGATCTTTGGGAGTTACTTTGGAAATTGAACACAATTCTGCAGCTTTAATAGCACGATTTGAAGTGAGACCCACTTTGACAGACAAAATTAAAGAACGACAGCAAAATGATGATAAGTTGATGGAAGAGTTCAGAAAGTTGTGGAGTGGTGAAGCTACTGAGTATAGAATCAGGAATGATGGGATTCTGCTTTTCAAGGAAAGAATTTGTATTCCTAAAGATGATGTGATTCGAAAAGCAATTTTGGAGGAAGCCCACTCTTCTGCTTTTGCTATGCATCCTGGTAGTACGAAGATGTACCAGACTATCAAGGAAAGTTATTGGTGGCCGGGAATGAAGAGGGAAATTGCCGAGTTCGTGGCAAGGTGTTTGATTTGTCAGCAAGTGAAGGCAGAACATCAGAAACCTACTGGAACCTTACAACCATTACCAATTCCGCAATGGAAGTGGGAACATATCACCATGGATTTTGTTGTGGGATTACCCCGTACACAAGCTGGTAACAATGTGATTTGGGTGATTGTTGATAGACTTACTAAAGCAGCACATTTCTTGCCGATCCGAAATGGCTGGACACTTGAGCACTTGGCCAAGTTGTATGTGAGGGAGATAATTAGGCTCCATGGAGTTCCCATTTCCATAGTGTCGGATCGAGATCCTAGGTTCACTTCTCGATTCTGGACAAAATTGCAGAAAGCTTTGGGCACAAGACTTAACTTCAGTACAGCTTTCCATCCCCAAACTGATGGACAATCCGAAAGGACCATCCAAACTTTGGAAGATATGTTACGGGCATGCGTGTTGGAATTCTAAGGCAGTTGGGATGTGCATTTGCCCTTGATTGAATTTGCCTACAATAATAGTTACCATGCTAGCATTGGCATGCCTCCTTATGAAGTATTGTATGGTCGAAAATGCAGGACCCCATTATGCTGGGATGAAGTGGGTGAAAGACAACTACTTGGTAGGGAGCTAGTTGAAATTACTGCTGGCAAAGTTAAGATCATCAGAGATCATTTAAAAGTAGCTCAAGATCGACAAAAGAGCTATGCTGATATCCGAAGAAAGGAGTTGGAGTTCGAGATTGGAGATAAGGTATTCTTAAAAGTCGCTCCGTGGAAGGGAGTCATTAGATTCCGCAAAGCTGGGAAACTGAATCCTCGATACATTGGACCATTCATCATCACTCAACAAATTGGCCCAGTAGCTTACCGATTGGATCTATCTTCAGAACTGGAACGTATTCATGATGTGTTTCATATATCTATGTTAAAGAAGTACGTTCCTGATGATTCGCATATTCTTGAAGCTCCACCGATTGAATTAAAGGAGAATATGAGTTTTGAAGTGCAACCTATTGAAATATTAGACAGGCAAATAAGGTTTTTGAGAAACAAACAAATTCCTCTAGTTAAAGTGTTATGGCAAAGTGGTGAAATAGAGGAAATGACTTGGGAAACCGAAGAAGCATAGAAACGGCAACACCCCCACCTTTTTAATAATTAAATTAGGAATTTCGAGGACGAAATTTTTTTTTAGGGGGGTAGAGCTGTAAGACCCTCCCCACCTTGTTTAAGCATATTAGAACTTAAAATATATGTGTGATATTTTTAGTTTAAAATACGGATATTTTAATGTGACATGGCAATTAGTATTTATCTATTTATCTCAAAGTAATTTTTTATGGGGGGCTGCCATTGGTGGGGAATCCCACTCATGTCTATTTCATTTATCAAGTTCTGTCCAAACTAACATGCAAAAGGGAGGAGCCATGTTCTTCCTTGACTAACAGCCCATTAAAATTCCAAATATCAAACGAAATCCGTTAATCACAGAAACATTTTGAAGAGAGATTTGAGAAGTTGTTGCTAAAATCTTGGGAAGAAGCTTGGTGTGGAGTAAGTAATAATTTCATAGAGTTCAAGCTTTATTTGATAAAGATAGTTTTGTTGCTAAGTTGAATTATTGCAAATTTTTGGTTAAGGTGCCTTGGTTACATAAAATCATTGGAAGAGGAGGGTAAGAATCACCCATGGTTGCTGGAATTCTCAACTCTTGGTAAGATTTATAGTGTTAGCATTTTTGCTATGTTTAAGCTAGAAAGAACCATGTCTTTATGGTTAATTTGGAGCTAGATTTGAGTTTGATGTAAATGAAGTTTAAAGTTAGTTTTAAAGTATGTTTAAGGTCCTTTTGCATGTTGAAAATCTGGAAAGTTTGGTTTGGAAATGAGTTTTGCTGGTATGGATTTTAAGGGCTCGAAACTTGATGGAAAATGAGGAGTAAGTAAATTTTTCCAGATTCATGCACTCCATGTGTTCGACAGATTGCATGGTTCTTAGCAATCTTGGGTCTTTGATATCTCATGATTGAAATGGAATTAGATTATAAATAAGATATGTCTTGAAACTAGGAAACCCAAAGATTGGAATGGTGATGATAGTGGTCGAAATGGCCCCCTATGGTGGCCGGTAGCTTCCTGCAAAGTTGGGTTCACAACCAACTTTAGGGGCTGCCCAACCATGCCTAGCAGACAGCCACAAGCTGCTGCCAAGCATGCCTTAGGCCACCCATCAGGCCACATCAAGGCTTTTGGGCTTAAGTCCCTTCTTTGGAGGATTGGGCTTATTATGGCCCCATGTGTTATGATCCAAAATTTTCTTATCCAAGTCCAAACTCATGGTATAACCCGTTTGACCCGTCAGCCCGATAACCGACCCGATTGACTTTTTGACTTTGACTTTTAGCAGTTGATTTTTGACTGAATGAACTAGAATTAATATTACGAAAATGCCCCTACTCATAAATTATAACAATTTAGTGATCATATTAAGATCTATGGGCATGAAG